GAATGAGAATCATGTACCGAGTATTCTCCTTAAATATTGATAGTAATTCACCAGTCACCCTGTATATGTTTCAAGTGAAGTCAAACAAAATCACGTCAAGTAAAAAAAATGTTACATTAAGAAGTTTAGATTTATATGTTTGCTTAGGTCGTAAAAATTTTAGATACAGTTTCATAAATTAGCCATTTAGTCATATTAAATAAGATAGATTTTAAAATGGATATTTGGAGATAAATATTTTACAGTTGCAGGATATGAGAGCAATAGAAATTAGTCTTTCTCTAGAATGATAAACACTTTAGCCTTGGTCGTTATTTATATTTTACACAAATGGATTGCAGTCATAAATTACCTTTTGACTGCGGCTTGGTCTGCATATTGCACCAGTTATAAGGTTTTATCCGATATCTGAGAGATCATCATCACCCTAGCGTTTGTCCCGGTTGTTCGTCCCGCTCAGGGCGGGAGAACCCAGGGTCCGCTTTCCCACTCAGTTTCTTCCACTTAGCCCGGTCTTCGGCATCCTTCTTGTGGAGTCCATTGGCACGCATGTCATCTTGCACGACATCAAGCCAACGTCTTTTGGGCCTTCCTCTACCCCTGGCGCCAGGTAAGGTCATATTGAGGCATTTGTGACCCACGTAGTTTTCCGGTCGTCGTAATACATGGCCGTACCAGCGTAGGCGACTTTCCTGCAATTTGTCGGCAATGTCACGGACATGCAAACTGCCCCGAATGTGTGAGTTACGAACGCGGTCTTTCCGCGTAACGCCACACATCCAGCGCAGCATATTCATCTCCGTGACATGCAACAATCGCCGGTGCCGGTGCGCTCCAGCAGAGGCCATGCCTCACTGCCGTACATAAGGACAGGCCTAATGATGGTTTTATAGACCTGTCCCTTCAGCACGACCGGCATTTTAGGGTCACAAATAACTCCAATCACCTCACGCCACTTCGCCCAAGCCGCAGTTATACGGGCTTTGATGTCGCGATCGATGTCTCCGGACGCATCGAGCTCAGATCCAAGGTACTTGAAGTGATCCGTACGCCCTACCATGACGTCATCGATCCAGATGGAGGTAGGATCCGAGCTATTGCAGGCCATATACTCCGTCTTCGTCGCATTAATTTTCAGCCCGCCGTTCTCAAGTGCCTCTTTCCACTCGTGCACACGCCGGATTAAACGTCCCTTGTCCTCATCTACCAGTGCGATATCATCAGCGTACATAAGCAGCCAAGGCGGTATCCGATATCTGAGAGATATCTTCATGAAATCGTGACTTAGTAACAATAAAACAGCCCCAGGATATTGCCATTTTTTCAAAAGTCGGTGCCTAAATTGAAAATCTATATCTTATCTTCAATAGACGCATTCGTAAACAACTTTTGAAAGGAGATTATATTTGAATCCTAGTAAAAGTTTGGTTATATTAAATTTAAGCACTAATAATAAATGAAGTAGTTCGTGCAATATTTGTGTTCAGTACAATATCAAATATACTATACACGTAATCAAGAACATGCTGATATTCTTGTATGGTTTGTGTATAATCTTGATAGAAACTTTATTCAAGATAATTCCCTATTCCGTCAATAGCTTTCTTCACATATGCTAATATGTCAGATTATTGCTCAACTAAAAGTAGTTTCAAATGGTTTTCAATTTAAAGGAGTAATAGCGTAACAAACATAAAGTTGGATTGAAAACCTCTTTTTTGAAGTCTTTTAAAATGACAGTTAAATTAAAATAACACTTACAACAATACAATACGTCACTTGTTCATGTTTAAACTCGGTCACGTTTCTGTGACTACCTATATTAGTTATAGAGTATAAAAGCATCGATATAGACAATTTAGAATAGTATTTTATTTAGTTTTAACTATATTCATTGATATTTATATAATCAATCATCATTTTAGGAATGACTCAAAGTTATGAAAAGAATTTGAAATATTTATGAATCACATGGTGCACCGGCAAAAGTGATACGGTTTTGTTTTTAGCCTTATAATTTATATAACCCAGGCACACCTTGATAGACCAAAAGTAGTTTTGTAGAGGGAGAATATTTTGTTTAAAGTGTGTGCGTAGTGAGCTTACAATCGATGAATCAGTGTGAAAAAACATAAAAGTCGACTGGCAAGTTTAGAGATCCTATGACGTAATTTTATGGATTCGCATGGTATAATATTTATTGACTATCTTATAAAATGAAAATCCATAAATGACGACTATTAGGTGTTGATTTTGAAGCGTTTCAAAGATTTTATAATAAAAAATGCTGTTTCATCAAGACAATGCATTCCGGCTTAGTATTTTGGTATTATCTAACAGATTGATCATAAAAGCAAATGAATTCCCTTTAAATAATCAAAATTTTACATTCAAAAAGTCTTTAGATATAAAAATAATAATGTTGACAAAATATCTATAATGATCAGATTAATGAATTTCCGTTTCAGAGGTGATAGAAAGTGATATCGAAATCAGTTGCAGATAGTTTCCATTTCGATGAGGGAAACGACCTTTACATGATACGAAAGGAATAGATACTGCAATTACTTTACGGAGCATTTTAAATGAAGAATTGTGTTTAGTCTTATCCATTTTTTGTATGAATTATCAAATTTTAGGTAAAACCCTTACATGTCACAGATTTAATATTTTAAAAGCCTAAACTATGTTGGTCATAAATAAAGATATTGAATTAATACTAAGTCACTGGTGGTCTAGTGGTTAGGAGGCGCGACTCTCGTTGCCGAGGGCGCGGGGTCGATCCTGACCTGGGCAAGTACCAATGTGATTTTTCCGAGTCATATGTGCTTTCTAAGAATATTTAGACATCACTGATAAATGCATTCCCAAAAAGAGGGTTGATGTCAGGCAGGCGGCCGGTCGTAAAAAAACAATTAGCCAAAACTATTCACAACATGTTAAGGCAGACCCTAGCTATAGCCGGGAAATTGCCAGATAGAAGAAGAAGGATGATATTGAATTAATAGATATTTCTTTCAATTATTTCCTAAGGATATAAATATTTCCTAGGGACATTTTGATTCAGTGACAGTAAAACTGCCTTAGGGTTATGAAATTTTAACTTAAAATTAATCTTAAAGGCTGGCACTCGCTGATTAGAAAGATTTATAGCGTAATAAAATTAAAGTCGTATTGAGAACTTATTCTTTTTTGATAGGACATTTTAATAAATAAAATTTCACTCTTAGCTAATGCTAAGAGTGAAAATCCTATCAAAAATCACCCTAGTAGATCTAGTAATGACGTATAAGAAACAGCCTGGCAGGTCGACAAACTGACAGATATTTCAAAAAATTAACCGTTTATATAGGTATACAATTTCATGTGTTTTATTAAAAAGCTGTTAAATTTAAATAATGAGATAGACAGACATTTGAATTGTATTTATTAGTATAGACATAAAAACCACTTGCAATATTAGTGAAGGGAAAATCTGGAGTAAGCCAATATAATTTTTACGACAGAAGTGCTTCTGCCTATATAGGAGTAGATAATGATCCCTCTAAATTTAGCGAGGCATTCTTATCTGAATAGGAGACAGCGGAATTGTGGATAAATAAATTTATGTAAATTGATAATGTAATTAATGAAAGGTACTCGTATGTATCGATAACTCTCTATAAAGTTTTCGGTAGTTTGAATTACAAATATGATTTGTGAATCTTTTCCTTATATTGAAGCTAGAGCAAAGAGAGATCTCTAAATTTCAAATTATGTTCCCTTGATAATAATACATAGTTATTATAAATAATTACATAATAGTCCCAATTTTGATATCATCCTATTATAATTATTTATTTTGACATTTGTAGATGTTGAAAGTGATTTAATTTTTGAATGGGATATTTATTTTGTGCTTTATTGATAGTTTGGCTAAAGAAAAAATTTTACAGTCTTTAATAACAATTTTTAATTTCCAGTAAAAATATAGTCACCAGATAGAACAGCAGTAATAAAGCTGAGGGTACAGAATACAAGGGAGTATAAAAATTAATATTCTCTATAAGTTAGGCATAGAGTTAACAAGTCCATGTTTATCAGTATAATCTGAGAGAAGTGTATATTTTTCTCAGCAAAATTTCCTTGGGTAAAGACAATGTAAGGTCTTTGAAATAAATAAAAAATATATTAATTCAAAGCCTATTGCTGTTGAAAGTCCCTCATTAAATCTTAGCTGTGACATAAGGTCCATTAAGTTGATCATATTTGTTTATTATAGATGGAATATATATTTTTTTAATTCGGATTTCCGTGACACATATAAATGTACAAAATTTTTCAAAAATATTTTATATTTTAAAAAAGTAGTAGTATGTCACTTGTTCATGTTTAAACTTGTTTACCTTTCTGTGACTACCTATATAAGTTATAGAGTATAAAAGTATCGAAATAGACAATTTAGAATAGTATTTTATTTAGTTTTAATTACATTAATTGATATTTATAGAATCTAATATCAGTTTATGTATGACTCAAAGTTATGAAAAGGATTTGAAATATTTATGAATCATATGGGGTGCCGGCAAGAGTGATACGGTGTTGTTTTCAGCCTTAGAATTTATATAACACAGGCACACCATGATAGGCCAAAAGTAGTTTTGTAGAGGGAGAATATGGCCGCAATTTTTGAAATTTTTACAAATCCCACACTTTTAACTACAAAACAAATTATAACATTACATACAAGAATAAACTAGTTATTAAATATAATAAATTTATTTGATACAAGAGACCGGTTAATACATATATTATGTTAAAAAATATTAAAAAGAAATGGTGCTTTTTTAAATTATCTTGCTGATTAGTCGGCTGCAATCACTATTAGTTTATTTAATTGGTATATGTTTTTTTTATTATTAATGAAATTTTATCCAAATATATGTAGAAACGGACTAGAAACAGTTAACTCATTTTAACGAAATAACATGCGTATTCGTTTTCAATATCACTTTAAGAATTTACATATTGCTGTTAATAAATCCAAGGAACGATGTTACTCTGGAGAACACTACCGGATAGCCAAATTCACATCCTAGAAAATTGGACAATGACGTAACACCAACCTGAAAATGACAATAATAATTTGGTCCCAAGTTTTATATACATTATGAAACGGCTGGGCTTATAAAAGTAAAGAGAGCAAAACGTTGAGTATAACAGCTTACCAGAACAGTCCTGTCACCTCTTTGTACCACAAGTGGACCACCAGAGTCACCACGGCATGTGCTGTTACCACCGAGGGTGTTCGTGCAAATGTTCGATGGACGAATGTTACCGAAGAAAGCGACGTAGCATATTTCGTTAGAGATGACAGTCATATTGACAAAATTTAAGAATTGATTTTTATTGATAGTATCAACTGAAAAAAAGGTACATTTGTTTAACTAAGAAATTAAATTAGATTTGAAGGTAGAAGTTAGAAGTAAATTGAAAATATTTTCCTACCATCGTTTGTAAGTCCATATCCAGCAGCTGTAACCACTTGACCGGTAAAGTCATGAAAAACTTCAAATCCACTGGGCAAGGAAACAGTTCCGATAGTATCTAAAATCAAATGCGTCATTACTTTACAATTAATTTTGTTAAATAACACTAGTGTGTTTCAAACTTAATTTACCGGATAACACAACACGTTCGGGTAAACGAATCATGGCAACGTCATTATGCATAAATGCTGGATGCCAAAGTGGATGGGTGACCACATCGCTGGTACGAATTCTAGTACCGCCAGTGAAGAGCGTTTCCGATCCAAGAACAGCAGTGAATCTCCAGGCTTTGTTTCTTCCATCGTCCCAACAATGAGCAGCTGTTAACACTCGGTTTGTGGTAAGAAGAGAACCTCCGCATACGCCTTTTCCTGAGCTACCAAGGATATCACTTATGAGACCGGCCTGCAAATACAATGTGGTAAATATAAAAAGCCAGTTGACGTCTAATGTAGCTAAAGATCTAGTTAAAGAAATAGTTTTTACCTGGTATTTGAATTGTCCAAGTGCAGCAGGAGAGCCGCCAGCAATTCTGCCTATAAAGGGTTTGTTTCGCAGATATTCTTCTTCAGCTTTCTTGATCCTTTCGGCTTCAGGTATACCATATTTAGTCAAGTATCCATAAGCCGTATTTGGAGTAAGTATGTTGTTCAATAAATCGGCGGACCCAAAGGCCGCTAAGGACAGAATTATAATTGCTAACTTCATGATTAAATACAACTTGTAATTGTATAAGTCAAAGTAATGTAAGTGCTTTATATAGTCTGAGTAATCAGTAAGATTTTTTAACAGTATTATATAGATAAAAAAAACATTGTTATCATTTGTTTTAAAACTGATCGATGAAAAACTTTCAAGTGTCGCATACGCCCCGCCTCCCACACGCGCGTGATAACGCTTGATTTTGGGATCAAGATTGGAGATCGGGATAGAAACTAGCGTTAGTTATTCAATATTTAAGCAACATCCCGCTAATAGAATTTTCATCAAAATAAGTCCCTCCATTTCAAAGATTAACTGGAATAAACAGATAGACAGACACATAGACAGACAAACAGAAAAGGTCATAAAAAATGTTAATTTGATATTTATGTACCATTATAATAATAATATGCATGTAATAATTAGTTACGGTTATTTGAATATAATAAATAGACACTGCAATTTTATTTATGTGTTTATATATATATATAGATGGATTGATAAATAGTATAGCAACTGTAACCCGAACTAGGGGTAAGATAAAAACAATATAATACTTAAAAAATTACAAGAGTAATTAATCGTATGATTCCGATTAGAATCAATACTGATGATTGAGGACGATTCATAATAGCTATCTATAACTATATGTTTAATTAATGATTTTATGTTGTACTAGTTTTTTAATTTGTGATAACTATATGTATTTACAATATTCTTTAAATCAAGTTTGTATGTATTGGAAGTTCTTACAATTATTAAGATATGATTTATTTGTTTAATTTTTAATCTTTCTACATATGAACAATGAAAGTCTGTTATATTTTGATACAAAATTCTTTATACAATAATTTAAGTTTTAAACAAATTATTATGTATACAAAAGAAAATGGAGAAGTTTTTTTTAAATATGTATGTTTTGTTGGTTCGGAAGTGCAGAATTGTGTTCTAATGATTTTTTAAACAGCGACCAGTTTTGTTAATTATTTGGTTAATGTGGAATGAACGGTCATTGTTATAAATCTTTAAAAAAGAAAATTTAATTATCATCAAAACGATCTCTTACAAAATTATCGCATCTTCTTAAACTTTTTAAATAATCTATTTTATTATATTATGTGCATGAACAGTTTATATAAGGTTTGTTTTTTACAAACAAACGAAAGTAAAGTAAGTAAGTTGTTTTTTACAAAATTTAATACAATTACTTTATACATAAAAATATAAAGTTTTAATTGAAATATTTGTATGCATGCCTTTCATCTTAAATACTTCTACCATTCATTGGATGTGGAGCATATAATGAATTAATCTTCAAGTTGATTGATGAAGTCCAAGCACCGTCAAAATTAAAGTTTGATATATTTTACTCTAGATTCAATAACGCCTTCTAGTGATTGGATTTATACTTATTTTCATTTCTTTGAGTATAAATATTGTTCTCATAAAACCCCAATTTCGATCGGAGTTTCTCAAAGTGGCGTATTGTACACTTCCCTTTTGATAATGTACATTATTTATTGACACTTTTCTTAGACATCTCCTTTTTAAAGTAAGCTTCCATAGGGTGAGCTCAAATATTTTTAGGCTGAAATTTAAACGTCACCAGTAACATTTAAAGAGTTTTGTTTAAAGTGTGCGCATAGTGAGCTTACAAGCGATCAATCAGCGTGAAAAGACATTAAGGTCGACTGGCATGTTTAGAGATCCTATGACGTAATTTTATTGATTCGCATGGTATAATATTTACTGACTATTTTATAAAATGAAAATCCATAAACGAAGACTATTAGGTGTCGATATTGAAGCGTTTCAAAGATTTTAGAATAAAAATATGCTGTTTCATCAAGACAATACATTCCGGCTTAGTATTTTGGTATTATCTAACAGATTGATCATAAAAACAAATTAATCCCCTTTAAGTTGTTGAAATTTTACATACACAAAGTCTTTAGATATAAAAATAATAATGTTGACAAAATATCTATAATGATCAGATTAATGAATTTCCGTTTCAGAGGTGACAGAAAGTGATATGAAATCAGTTGCAGATAGTTTCCATTTCGATGAGGGAAATGACCTTTACATGATACGAAAGGAATACATACTGCAATTACTTTACGAAGCATTTTAAATGAAGAAATGTGTTTAGACTTATCCATTTTTTGTATGAATTATCAAATTTTAGGTAAAACCCTTACATGTCACAGATTTAATATTTTAAAAGCCTAAACTATGTTGGTCATAAATAAAGATATTGAATTAATACTAAGTCACTGGTGGTCTAGTGGTTAGGAGGCCCGCCTCTCGTTGTCGAGGGCGCGGGTTCGATCCTGACGTGGGCTAGTACCAATGTGAGTTTTCCGAGTCATATGTACTTTCTAAGAATATTTAGACATCACTGATAAATGCATTCCCAAAAAGAGGGTTGATGTCAGGCAGGAGGCCGGTCGCAAAAAAACAATTAGCCAAAACTATTCACAACATGTTAAGGCAGACCCTGGCTATAGCCAGCCGGGAAATTGCCAGATAGAAGAAGAAGAATGATATTGAATTTAATACATATTTTTTTCAATTATTTCCTAAGGATATAATTATTTCCTAAGGACATTTTGATTTAGTGACAGTAAAACTGCTATAGGGTTATGAAATTTTAACTTAAAATTAATCTTAAAGGCCGGCACTTGCTGATTTGAAAGAGTTATAGCATAATAAAATTAAAGTAGTATTGAGAACCTATTCTTTTTTGATAGGACTTTTATTAGATAAGAGTGAAAATACTATCAAAAATCACCCCAGTAGATCTAGTAATCACCCATAAGAAACAGACTGGCAGGCCGACAAACTGATAGAAGTTTCAAAAAATTAACTGTTTATATAGGTATACAATTTCATGTGTTTTATAAAAAGCTATTAAATTTAAATAATAAAATAGACAGACATTTGAATTGTATTTATTAGTATAGACATAAAAACCACTTGTAATCTTAGTGAAGGGAAAATCTGCAGTAAGCTAATATATGTAATTTTTACGACAGAAGTGCTTTTGCCTATATAGGAGTAGATAATGGTCACTTGCGATCAAACGAAGCATTCTTATCTGAATACGAGACAGTGGAAGTGTAGATAAATAAATTTATGTAAATTATTAATGTAATTAATGAAATGGATGTATCGATTCCACTCTATAGAATCTTTACCTGTTTGAATTAAAAATATGATTTGTGAATCTTATCCTTATATTCAATATAGAGTCCAAGAGAGACCTCTAAATTTTAATTAATATGTTCCCTAGATAATAATAATTATTATTATAAATAATAATTCATGGTACCAATTTTGATATCATCGTATTATAATTTATTTTGATATTTGTAGATGTTGAAAGTGGTTTAATTTTGAATGGGATATTTATTTTGCACTTTATTGACAGTTTGCCTAAAGAAAAAAAATTACAGTCTTTAAAAACATTTTTTAATTTCCAGTAAAAATATAGCCACCAGATAGAACAGCAGTAATAAAGCTGAGGGTACAGAATACAAGGGAGTATAAAAATTAATATTCTCTTTAAGTTAAGCATAGAGTTAACAATTCCATGTTAATCAGTATATCTGCGGGAAGTGTTTAATTTTTTCAGCAAAATCTAGTTGGGTAATGTTAATGTAAGGTCTTTAATTGAAATAAAAAAATATAGTGATTCAAAGCCTATTGCTGTTGAAAGTTTCCCTCATTAAATATTAGCTGCGCCATAAGATCCATTTAGTTCATCATATTTATTTATTATAGATGGAATACATTTTTTTTAATTCGAATTTCCGTGACATACATAAATGTCCAACATTTTTCAAAAATATTTTTGTTAAGTGCAAGCAAGTTGAAAGTACGTCACTTGTTCATGTTTAAACTCGGTCACGTTTCTGTGACTACCTATATAAGTTATAGAGTATAAAAGCATCGATATAGACAATTTAGAATAGTATTTTATTTTAATTATATTCATTGATATTTATATAATCAACTATCATTTTATAATTGACTCGAGTTATGAAAAGAATGTGAAATATTTATCACATGGTGTGCCAGCCAAAGTGATACGGTGTTGTTTTTAGCTTTAGAATTTATTACATAAATAAGTTATAGAGTATAAAAGTATTGAAATAAACAATTTAGAATTTAATTAGGTTTTTATAACATTTAATGATATTTATAGAATCTAATATCAGTTTATGTATGACTCAAAGTTATGAAAAGGATTTGAAATATTTATGAATCACATGGTGTGCCGGCAAAAGTGATACGGTGTTGTTTTTAGCCTTAGAATTCATATAACACAGGCACACCTTGAAAGGCCAAAAGTAATTTTGTAGAGGGAGAATATGGCCGCAATTTTAGCAATAGCGTAAAAATCCCACATTTTTAACTACAACACGAATTATAACATTACGTACAAGAAAAAACTAGTTATTAAATAAAATAAATTTATTTGATACAAAGAACCGGTTAATACATACCTATATGTTAAAAAATATTAAAAAGAAAAGGTGCTTCTTTATATTATCTTGCTGATTAGTCGGATTCAATCACTATTGATTTATTTAATTGGTATTATTTTTTTAATATTAATTAAATTTTATCCAAATATAAAAACAGACAAGAAACAGTTAACTCATTTTAACAAAAATAACATACATATTCGTTTTCGATTTTAATGTTAGAATTTACATATTGCTGTTAATAAATCCAAGGAACGATGTTACTCTGGAGAACACTACCGGATAGCCAAATTCACATCCCAGAAAATTGGACAATGACGTAACACCAACCTGAAAATTACAGTAATAATTTGGTCCAAAGTTTTATATACATATGTACATTATGGAACAGATGGCTATACAAATGTAAGGAGAGCAAAATGTTGAATATAATAGCTTACCAGAACAGTCCTGTCACCTCTTTGTACCACAAGTGGACCACCAGAGTCACCACGGCAAGTGCTGTTACCACCG